ATCAACGTGTTCGCTGTCCCTTTTCACTTGGAATTGTTGATAATTAAGTACCCTGTTTTGTGGTTCCCTCCTTTGCCGGTTCCTTCGTCCTCTCTCCTTCCTTCTGACCTTCTTGCTTCCCTCATTCTATGCATTATCCGTTCCTATCTTCTTTTCCCCCTTCCCCCTTCTTCCCTTCCTACTTCTCGTATCCCTTCCTCTTCCTCTTCCTCTCCCTCCCACCGATATACCCACCCACTCACCCACCAAACCACCCCCCCTCCTCCCCCCCCCCCTCTTTCCCCCCCTCCTTCCCTCCACTACTGATCGGAGACGCAATATTGGCCCTTCAATCACACCCGCGGGCGTTACAAAAGCGACCAATATTCAGAGCGGCTTCACGCCCATATCTGAAAACCGTGCTTTGGGGTGAAGGGCGGGTGGGGAGGAGGCGGGGAGGGAGAGTGAGGGAGAGGGAAGATGGAGAGTGGAAAGCTGTTGCTTGCCTCAATCATATTTGTTTTCTCGTAGTCGCAGTTACAGTAAGTGCGAGGGAAGTTTGTGTCACTGAGGGTTTGCCTAAGAATCGTGGAGCGAACATGTTTGTTAGTGTAGTGTGTGTGTGTGTGTGTGTGTGTGTGTGTGTGTGTGTGTGTGTGTGTGTGTGTGTGTGTGTGTGTGTGTGTGTGTGTGTGTGTGTGTGTGTGTGTGTGTGTGTGTGCGTGGTGTGTGTGTGTGTGGTGCGTGTGCGTGTGCGTGTATGTGAGTGTAAGTGAGGGACGAAAACGGAGAGCAGATGAAATGCGAGAGCAGACGTGTTTACACTCGAAGAAACAGATACAGATACAGATATAATAGTGTCTATTGCCCTCTCGCTTGTTTGTTGGCCTCTCCCCCGCCCCCCACCATCCCCCCACCACCCACCGCCCGCGAGCCGCCCCCTCCCGCGCCAGACCGGAAGTACATCACGCCGCCCTGTGTATATCGTGTGTCAGGTGGTCTGTGAAGAACCTTTGATGCGCCACGCTGAAGGATGGAAGCCTTTGATCCCTCCTGGACCAATTTCAGCAGCCAGCCCGGGATGCGAACCCTCTCCGCTGCCACCGCTTCTGCCAACACCTTGCCCCCATCTTCTCACCCCTGCCAACAGCGAGAGCCAGAAGGTTCACTGCATATGTTTCGGCCGCCGTCGGACCACGAAGGAGGGCGGGGCGCTGATCGCGTAACAATTACGGACGTGTTTTGAGATCAATTATACGATGCAAATAACGGCATTCACGCCGACTCAAACTGTATAATGGAAGTCGAAAGGTTCTAAGGGGGGGAGGGGGGGGGGGGCAAAGAGGGGGGAAAGGGGAAAAGGTAGGGGGGGGGGCGGAAAGGGCCGGCTCTATCCCACGGCAGAGTGAATAGCATCTGAGTATTTGCCACAGCCCAACACTGCATACACGACGCAAACGCATATTTAAAACGCTCGGCGATATGTGCAGTAAGACTCTCTCTCCTCTTCCACAAACACGAGCTGTGCGAAGACGGCTTCCCCCGCTGCCGCCGCCATTAATTATTACCGTAATTCCAGAAGCGGGAACGAAACGGCCGCTCAAAGGAAAACGAAAGGGAGAAAAAAGAAAACAAAAAATAACCATCCATCACGCAGACGAGACAAGTGTTATCCAATGCAACATCCATCCATCTGGGGCGCGGCAAAGGTGTTAATTCAACAGGGAAAAAAAAAACTTTAGCCTTAATTCCAGATAAAGAAAAAGAACCCAAATCTCAATACAACAAGAAAAAGAAAACTTCCGCTTTAATCCACCAGAAAAAAAACTGGATTTAATGCAACAGAATATATAAAAAAAAATCCTTCATAGCAATTCCACAGAAAAATAGGTGTTAATTCAACAAAAAAAAATAAAGCTGCGTGTTTATTCATCCTCCCTTCCACCGCACATAAAAAAAAATGAATATAAAGAAAGAAAAAAAGGCTAAAACATAGCAACGTGGGTGTCCGGAAGACAGATGGCTCACAGCAAGACGCACAGGTGGTTTACTTGTGCGTAAATCATTCGCGTAACTACATACACACTCGTTCCCTCTGACGAATCGCCTAACCGCGCGATTAGTGCCAACGCTCGTAAATTCCCGGACCAGGGTGTACGTGTGTGTGTGTGTGTGTGTGTGTGTGTGTGTGTGTGTGTGTGTGTGTGTGTGTGTGTGTGTGTGTGTGTGTGTGTGTGCGCGCGTGCATATGTATAGATAACCTGTATAATATAAATACAATGATGGTGACAATAATAATGATAATAATTAGCATAATAATAACGCTAGCAATCCAAGTGACCTTGTCCTGAATTTAATCAAAGCTTCCCTTTCCAGATTGTTTTCTAAACTCACACGAAATATCCGTTTGACACCGGACGCGCCGGCAAATCTTTACGGCGTGAATCCCAGCGTGACCAGGTGGCGGCCGCGAGTACCCGGAATTCATACAGGATCCTTTGCTTGCTGTCTGTTGGCTGAT